GTTAGTGTCTATTTTCAAAACTCTGTAATCATATATTTCTATACAGAAGTATTATTTCCTGAAGGCAAGATGATTTCTGAACTTCACTGTCAACTCAAAATTCTTGACCAATCAAGTTCTGAAGGTACAATTAAAATGTTAATTTTTAGTTATAGTTACTTTAATAGAAGAAATCTCATCAGCATCTTCAGTCTCCATTGGAGGTCAGATTATTTTTTGTTACATTACATGTCATTGTGTTTTATTAGGGCCAGTATATTTTCCATTAAATAAGGATCCTGAGTTTAGCTCATTGAGGTGTAAATTTGGTTCAGCATTCTATGCAGCAAGATGTGCCATTGAAAAAAAGAATATCAATCCAGGTCAAATGAGGATGTTACTCAGTGATTGCTTTCCACATAAACCAGAATTCTCCAACAAACATTTAGAAACAACTAATGATATTCTTAACGCAGTAAAGGGGAACTGTAATCTCATTGACATTAATTGTCTGGAAGTTATTGTGAGCCATTTTAATGTCTCAGAAGCTTTTGATCCTCTTGAAGCATACAAGGCTGAAGTAGAAGAATTCTGTAAGGTGCTACAAGATGAGCTTAATGAATCACTGGAAGTTGTAAGGAGTCCAAGACCTCTCGAGAGAGAGACCATTGTATTGGTTCTTGATCAAACCCCTCTTACTTGCACTGTTGGTGATGTTAAAGATGTAGTGCGAAAAGCCTCAGGGGCTCACATTGGAGATATTCGTATTATGAATGTCAGTGATTCACATTCTATTGCTATTACCTGCTTTGTTCCCATGAGTCTGACTGGATCCTTCATTGCTACTGTTCTTCAAAATATAAAACACCTTCAATCAAAAGGACTAAGGGAATTGTTATTGGATAATACAATTATTTGGGTAAGATACAGTAGTTATTGCATTAATTTAATAGAAGTGAACAATTAGGAACTCAACGATGACGGACAAAAATCTAGTACTGAGAATGATGTGAAAAGTAAATAATTTTTTAAACTTATTAAATATTTTAATTTTAAAAATTAATTTCAGCTAAAAGCAAAAAATCAGAGCCGACTTATCAAAAATGAAGAA